TAAAGAAATATTTTCCAAATTAAACAGATGCTGCAATTCAACAGAAATGGTGTGAAGAAGGCTGCAAACATCCAGTTATATACTGAGCAGATAATCTGCCTAATACCAAAAAGTGGCATAGCATGCAAGTTATAGAAATCACCTAACACACCTCTTCTTTGTTGGCTTTGATCAAGTTGTTGATTTCTTCATTGCTTATTCAACTAGAAACAGAGTCTAAAGAAGTCTAAAGTGTGGTGGTACCTTTTCACCACACTACTGCTCAGAGAAGGAATACTGTTGATCTCTTTGCTGTTATCCAAGACTTTGTTTCTTCCTGGTACCCTACAGTTATACATGTATGCATCACTAATCCTGAAGAGCATTCTCAATTTCTCTATTCTAATCAAAAAAATATGACCTGCCTACTCATCCTTAATATGTATCATTACCTATCACTTTTTGTTGTTGCTTTAGCAGTACTTATTGTGATATAAATGATTCAGAATCTCAGAGTAGTTCTCTGTTCTGCTGAGCAGTTCTCAGAAGATTCCAAATACTTCATGAATCAATCCCTAGTAGATGGTGGTTTTTGAGCTACCCACTTGTATAAAATGTACCCTTTTCCCATATAACAAAGTAAGTAAAATATATATGTTTGTAAAAAAAAACAAAAACAATAAACAAAAACAACAACAACAAAAATTTTGTTTAATTTTCTTGTTTGTTTTGAAGAGAGGTTTTAAACAACAAAAAGATGTTTTAGATTTTTATCTCAACTTGATATTAATACAACTTTTAAATTTATCATGAAAGAAATCCAAATTAAAGTTCTTTTAGATATATAGCTTATTAAAGTTCTTTTAAACATATATCTTTTTTTCTATATATTTTTTCCCAGTTACGATAGGAGTTAGCAACCTCCTTCAGCATCCACAGATTCAGTTGATAAAGGCCAGGGATTAAGCACAGCCGATTAACAGTCTGTGTCCTCTTCAATCTAGCATTTCCACTGCAGATAAACCTATATTCAGACTGAAGTTATAATAAACAGGCTGTCCTCAATATCATTTCCCTAGATGACCTCCTCAAAACTGACATTCAAGTATTCTTGTGGAAAATTGCAGTTTACAGTAACTGGAAAAGCAGAGAATGCAACATACACTCCCCACAAATGGGATATTGTTTATTCAGGAGATCAAGATAAATGTTTAGAAAACAGTTTGGACAGAGTGTTAATTTTACTATATTTCTTGTAATTTCTTTTATTCTTTTATTTTCTTTTCAATTATCATTTTCAATTCCTTATGATTATAGATTAGACTTTTAAAAAAACATTTCTTTATTGCTTATTCTTATCTTTAAAATAACCACCTATTTGTTTATACTTGTTATACTTGTTATGAGAAATTGTATTTATTGTTTATATTTATTATGAGAAAACAAATTTATCTTGAAGGATTATAGTGGTAGCAAAACTCTTTCAAAGTCAAAGGAAAAAAAAAATCAAACACCAAAATACTCTACCTAATGAAATATAAAAGTTACCCTACATAAAGTGTCAGTGCAAACAATTTTTCAAGTGAATTTCAAGTGAATTTTCAAGTAAAAGAATAAAATTCTACATGGACATAATTTTCATAATATTCTATTAGGTATGTGCTTTAATTTTTACCATAAATAATATTTTTGTTTAAAATGGAAAAAAAATATATCTTAAAACATGGATCCTTTTTTTTTTTTTTTTTTTTAGGAAGATTTTAAATCCAGAACATATGGGTCAGAAAAAAAAAAAAAAGTCAATGACTATTACAAATGAGTATTACAGATCTAAATGTTTAATGGACATTTTAATTCCTTTACGTAGACGCTCCAGGTATTTTAAGCAACTATCGAATTTTGTGTTGTTTAATTTCAGTGTGTTTCTTTAAACTGAATCATAATCATTTAGTACATATAACATCTCATTATATAATAATAAGATATTATTAATAAAATATTAATAATGTATAGTATTAATTATAATAATAAAATAATAGTATATAACATATAAATATATAATATATCTTATACATTTATATATCAGATATATAAATGTAAGATATAAGATATAAATATAAGATATATAAGATATAAATATATAAAACAATATATAAAATATAAGATTCAAATATATAAATCTTATCTATCCAGTTAAAGGGCCTGGGTTTTACTCTTGTTTCCATTAGTTTATACTGGCAGAATTCTAGTGAAATGATTCTGAAGTCAGATGAATTAATGTGTGTGTTTATTCTTCAGTTCATCATTCAAAGCACATGACCAAAATTTGGTTCCCTTTGCCCAAACCACAGAAACAATAAGAAACAGGTCATGTTATGCAGTGCCAAAAAAAAAAAAAAAAAAAAGAAAAAAAAAGGAAAAGAAAAAAAGAACAAAGCTACAATTTGGTTATTAATTCCCTAGAACTGGTTTGAAGCAAGCACTGCATGTGGCCATAGCTAATTCATTAGAGTTGTTCATTAGTTCTTTTCACTGAAGGTGTTTTTTATCTTTTTTTTTTTTTTTTTTTTTTTTTTTAAGGCATAAAATGATTCACATTAAGTTTCATAGTCAGAACATTAATTACTTGGGATGATTCCATTCACCTTTTATTGCAGACTTAAAACAGTTTCAAAGCTTTTCTAAATAAATCTGTGCTTGAGAAAGAATTGGAATTGTTAATTTAACTCAAAGTCACTCACTTTGAGACTGCTTCAAAAATTAATTTCATGGTCTCTGTAACAACATAGTTTATTTCTGCCAACTATGACTCATATAATGAAGCATAATGCGTTTAATCAGACTGTATGGACTACAATTTAAGGTTATTTATGTTTACTATGGTTAGAAGACACAGTAACTTACGAGGTCAGTTCTCCTTAGTCATCTTTATGAGCAGAAGGTTGCATATTTTCCTTACCAAAGAGCTACACTGAGCTATAGTTAAGTAGTGATAAAATTTCAGCATACCGTTAAAACATCATGTATTCCATATATTCATTTTGAAATTTCTTGTTCTCTGTTGGAGCTGGTTAAAAACACTTGTCATATCGCACAGGAACAATCTAGCCTTCAGCTCATTACCAACACCAAAACTTTTCTGTCATTTTATTCAACTAAATACTTTTTTTTTTTTTTTTCCTGAGAGTGAATATATAAAAGACAATTTATTACCATTATAAGAAGTTATTTTGTGTAAACAAATAATCTAAAATGATGAGAATTTAAGTGGACATAAAGGTGTACAAGAGTGTAATTAATTTTATCAGTCCTTTTTATTTATAAGCTAACAGCAAATCTCATTTGTTATTACCCACAATACAAGGAATTTTATAGGTTCTTAGTCATTCAGCACACAGTATTTCATTATTACCCACATGATATAAAATAAAATATTATTCTATAAATTTATATATATATATTTTCCATTTCTAATTTTCTGCCTTATTTAATGGAAAACAAAAAATAAAAAACCAAAAAACTTATTTTTACTAGATTAGAGGAATATATGAATGTAATGACATTGGCCTTTAAAATGACATGAAGTTAGCAGTGAGAACAATTAAATTCTTAATCTTAAATGTCTTCTTAGGACAAACCCACCATAGTGACAAATTAAAAGCTGCAGACAAAATCCATAATATAAAGAACTATGGGAAATATATATGGGAATAACCTAGGAGTGAGGTACAGTGCAATGAAACTAGAAGAGGGAAAGAAACATGTGGCTCCTTCTAGTAAATACATATGCGTGAACATAAACACACATACATATACACACATACAGAGCAGCCTACACAGCCTACACACACCTTGTCTTTCAGAGTCCTCTGATTTAAGCAGCTTGATAGTATGTGTTTGCAGTGTTCCCAGTATTCCCAAACCTTATCCCTTTATTTTTACCTTTTAGCTTTTGGCTTCAGTTGATGAGAACTGGAAAAAAAGGTGGTATGTTTAAGGCTTCCAAACAGCTTGGAAATTCTGAGTAAAGAAGCCAATCAAGTCAAAAGGATTACAATAAAGAACAAAATTTGCATATTTAGAGTATGGTTACTGAGAAATAACAATGTCTTAGTTATGCAAATCAAACCCTCAGCTGAAGTGAAGAGATTTGCATATCTGGGAGAAATCTGTCACTTTATGCACCAGTAACTACATTCTAAGTGGCTGAAAGAACTGGCATTCAGCAGAATATTAAATATAATTTTCAGAAGAGTTTTTTATTTCCTTGGGATATAAACTATAATCATTTGAGGATTGGTAAAAAAAGGTCTTGTTTTCTGTAAGAAGCAATACCATTTTGCACCTCATAAGATATATCTAGCATGCCAAAATGCTACAATATTTAAGACTGAGATCATGAAAACTTTCAAGGTGTTATATGTTGGCATTTGTGTTCATAAGTTAACCATAGGCTCCAAGGTAATAAAGTAAAATAAAATAAAATAAAATAAAATAAAATAAAATAAAATAAAATAAAATAAAATAAAATAAAATAAAATAAAATAAAATAAAATAATTAAAAAATAATAATAAAAAAAAAAAAGAGGGGGAGGGGAGAATTCTCCTTTAAAATGAGTATGCTGCAGCATTTGTACCATCCATGCAATTAAAAATACAAAGTTACTTCTGGTTAATGTTTATTTCCCTGTTCCTCTTTCCTCTCCTGTTTTCCTCATCTGAACTCAGCTCTAGTTCAGATGTAAGATTTGTAAGATTACACACCCTGCCCTGTGGCACTGGATACACTGGTGTTACACTGTGGCTGCAAATGAAATTGTGGTGTTACACTGATACATGAAGAAGAATTCATGCAAACATGTTCGATCTGTGAAGTATTCTTTACGATGAGTATTCACAGACATGATCCATTTCTACAGATAAAATATGGGGGAAACTGAGCAAGATGATTTAAAGACCTAGCTACTCAACTCATGCAGGAATTGGTGAGTGAGCTGAAGTGTGTTCCTGAGAGTACTTACCATCCTCTGTGGGTACATAGATATTCAAATACAGGCAGTCTTCATTTTGATCTTGAACATATGTCACCACAGTATCCAGATTGGCTGTAAACCAGACTGGCAGCATGTCGTTGAGCAGTGACCTCTCATCCAGGTACTGTGGGCAAACAGCAGCAAACTGTGTGGCATTTCGGACACCTGTCCAAGATGATGGAGGTTCTGGAGGCTGAAATCGCCTTTCTCCGGTTGGAGGAGAGGCATAAGGAACACCCAGATACTGCTCCACTGGACCAAGGATCTCATTGGGCAGAGGTGTTCTTAAACCACGTATTTTGCCATAATTCGTGGTAACCACTGGGTATTGTGCTTGACCATCAATGAGAGTAAATCTTATAGCCAGTGCAGTTATCCATAGGAGGAAGTTAGAATTCAACATAACACACACTGGGGTGAAGATCAAAGGCAGCCATAGAAGTCCCATTGGTTTCGACATCATTTAAATGAACATCAGCAGTGCTCTTTTCTTCCACAACCAGGAGAAAAAGGAGTCAAAGAAAATGAAAATAATAAAATAAAAAAGCAGGCAAAAGTAGATGAAGTGAGGCAAAAGTGTAATCTTGTTCAGGCAGTGAAAAAGCAAAAGCTAATGTGTGCCTCAGTTGACTGACTGTAGACAAATTCCAACATCTGAAGAAGCAAAAGAATGTTTGCCCCCAGGGACCATCCCAGACTTGAGTGTTGGCTTACTCCTGGCAACACACAGCTTCTCCCAGCCAGTACAGTGGGGACAGATTGACAGTTACTCCACTTCCCCAGCAAAATGGCTCCTTCCAGTCAAGTCTAGCCCACTCAGTCAGCCTGTAGCCAGAAGAAAGCAAACAGTTAAAATCAACGGACACATTTTATTGGCATAAACCTACACAAAATAAACAAATAAATCAAATTCATTCTTTATTTACACAGAACGACCCACAAATCTTTTATGAACTTTAGCCACCTTGTTTAGCTATGTGTTTCTGAAGATACACAAGGTAAGAAAACTGAAAATTGAAGCCACAAACTTGTCCAAGGCTATAAAACAAACCAAATGCTCTGCTTCTGTATGTACTTCCAAACCAAACCACAGCCCAAATGTTAATGCTTTCAGGAAAGTTATCCCACATTTAATTGCTAGCTCCAGGGTATTTTCTGCCCTGAATAAACATCTCCTTTTTTAACCACACTTGTATTCCCACAGTAAATGTTCATTAGATGTTTTGCTGCATTGGATAATCTCTCATTGTTGTTATATGACTTCTATATATTATTTTTCACAGGTAAGCCTAATATTCTGTATGATTAACAATTTACCTCCACATAATTCAGACATTCCAACGAATGTAATAGAATTATCTTAGTTCAAAGCAAACGTGAAAATGGAATTAGTTAAAATTAGATACTATGGCATTGGTTTTCATATTGTCTTTATTTGTACAATTTCTGACAAAAATGAACAATTGCAACTGAAAAATAAATGTGTAATACAATTGCTCAGAAATCAGATCTTGACCTACACTGTTACAACTATGGAACTTTGCCTTCTTACATGCTCCTAATTTAAATTCTTAGACAGAAGGCAAATCATAAATAAATCATGTTATTTTTTAATGAAATACAAGTTGCATACCATTACAAGAAGCATAAATAACAATACAACACTTCTTAATACTTACATTCTTCTCCCTACCCAAATAAATGGAGGAGTTTTAAAACATTTTTCAACTTAAAATTACAAATGGCAATTCCACAGTTTGAAAAATCCTTATTATAGGAAACTAATACTGATACTATACATTTTATGGGATGAACACAAACTATCACATAAGCCATTTATATATGTGGACTACCAGGTTCAATTTTCAGTCAGGACTCTGTCTCATGAAAATCAGTTTTCAAAAGCAGAAAATTCCAAGTTAAGTACTTATTGACAGTGATTTCAAATTAAAAAAAAAAAAAAAAAAAAAAGCAGATACACAGAGATATTTATGTTGATTCTTTGAGACAAAGACAGGCATCTGTGCAAAAGAAAAACAAAAACTAAATTCTTTCAAAACCCCTGGCATTCTTTAATGACTTTATCTGAAGATATGTACAACAAATGATGTAAAACACCTGAACACTAGAGACCAGAAAAATACCAGCTACGTATTATTTCTGTTGAACCAAATTTTCATAGAATCACAGAATATCTCGAGTTGGAAGGGACCCACAAGGATCCAACTCCTGGCACACACAGGTCTGTCCAGAAATTCAGATTATGTGACTAAGTGCACAATACAAATGCTTCTTAAACTCTGACAGGCTTGGTGCTGTGACTACATCCCTGGGGAGCCTGTTCCAGTGCATGACAACCCTCTCAGTGAAGGATCTCTTCCTGATCTCCAGCCTGAACCTCCTTTGTCGCAGCTTGACACCATTCCCGCAGGTCCTATCACTGGTCACTAAAGAGAACAGATCAGTGCCTGCCTCTCCATTACCCATTGTGAGGAAGCTGTAGACCACAATGAGATCTCGACTCAGCCTCCTCTTTTCCAGGCTGAACAGGTCAACTGACCTCAGCTGCTCCTCATACATCTTCCCCTCTAGGCTCTTGACCATCTCTGTAGCCCTTCTCTGGACACTCACCAACATTTTCACATCCTTTCTGTACTGTGGTGCCCAGAGCAGCACTCAGAAGTCAAGGTGCGGCCGCACCAGTGCAGAGTAGAGTGGGACAATCACTTCCCTCAATCGACTAGCAATTCCATGCTGAATGCACCCCAGGATACAGTTCGCCCTCCTGGCTGCCAGGGCACACTGCTGGCTCACATTCGGCTTGCTACCAGCCACGACACCCATGTCCTTCTTGTGGGACTGCTCTCCAGGATCTCACCACCCAGTCTGTACGTATAGCCAGGACTGCCCTGTCCCAGGTGTAGGACCCAGCACTTGCTTTTGTTAAACTTCATGCAGTTAGTGATTGCCCTGATGTCCAGACTGTCCAGATCTCTCTGCAAGGCCTTTTCACCCTCAACAGAGTTAACAGGTCCTCCAAGTTTAGTATCATTAACAAATTTGCTCAGAACACCTTCAAGTCCTACATCCAAATTGTTTATAAAAACATTGAAGAGGACTGGACCTAAAATGGAGCCTTGGGGGACCCCACTAGTGATCATCTGCAAACCTGATGTGGCCCCATTTACCACAACACTTTGAGCCCTGCCCATCAGCCAATTGATCACCCATCGTGTGATATTTTTGTTTAGCTGTATGCTGGACATTTTGTCAAATAGAATCCTATGGGAAACTGTGTCAAAAGCTTTGCCAAAGTCCAAAAAGATCACATCAGCTGGTTTCCCTTGATTGACTAGATGGGTGATCTCATAAAAGGAAATCAAGTTAGTCAAACAGGACCTACTCCTTGTGAACCCATGTTGTCTAGGACCGATGAGTGCATTGTCCCCCAGGTGTGCTTCAATGACTTCAAGGATTATCTTCTCCATAATTTTAGCAGGCACTGATGTGAAAACGACAGGCCTGTAATTGCTAGGGTCTTCTTTCTTACCCTTCTTGAAAATTGGCACAACATTTGCCAGCTTCGAGTCTACTGGGACCTCTCCAGATTCCCAAGATCATTGAAAAATAATTGAGAGAGGTCCCGTGATGATGTCAGCCAGCTCTCTAAGCACCCTGGGATGGATCCCATCCAGACCTATGGACTTGTATGGATCCAGGTGGAACAGAAAATCCTGCATACATTCAGGGTTGGTTAGGAGTTTATCATTCCCACCATTATGGTCTTCTAGCACAGGGCACCCTGGGTCCCGAAGCCCATCATCAGCATTGAAGACAGAGGCAAAGAAGGCATTAAACATCTCTGCTTTGCCTGTGTCCTCATCTGTGAGGTGAACTTCCCCATCAAGAAGCAGACCTATGTTTTCTTTGGTCCTTCTTTTTCTCTTCACATATCTAAAAAAAAACTTTTCACTGTCTCCTACAGACCTGGCCAGCTTCAACTCCAATTGGGCTTTGGCTGCATGAAATTTCTCCCTACAAACACAAACAGCGTCCCTGTATTCCTTCCACATTGCCTGACCCTGCTTCCAGCAGCCACACACTTTCTTTTTCTGCCCAAGCTCCAGCTGAAGATCCTTGGTCAGCCAGGCCAGCCTTCTGCCCTGCCTGCTTCACTGCTGATATTTTGGAATTGCCTGATCTTGTGCTTTTATGAGGCATTGCTTAAACCGATGGACGCCAACACCTTCAAAAGCAGTTTCTCAGTGGACCTTACTAACTAGTTCCCTGGGCAGCCTGAAGTCTCCCCATTTTAGGGCTGAAGTTTTGGTGGCAGTTTTCCTCCTGTTACCAAAAATTTTAAACTTGACCACTTCATGGTCACTATGAACAAGATGGCCACCAATTGCCACATCCCCCACAAGACCCTCTCTGTTCTCCAGCAACAGATCTAGGAGAGCACCTTTCCTATTTGGCTCCATTACCACCTGCACCAGGAAGTTATCATTGGAACTTTAGGAACCTTGTGGACCGGACCTGCTCGTGTCAGCTGTTGGTAATCCCAGTTGATGTCTGACAAGTTGAAGTCTCTCATAAGGACAAAGGCAGTTGATCTCGAGGTACCTCTTAGTTCCTCAAAGAATAATTAATCAGTGTCATCCTGGTATGGTGGTCTGTAATAGACTCCCACGACATCCCCTTTGTTCATCCCTTAATCCTTACCCAGAGGATCTCAACTTTGACATCACTAACTGCAAGCTCCACACAGTCCAGACCCTCCTTCACATAAAACATCACTCCACTTCCTTGCCTGCCCTGCCTGTCCCTTCTGATGAGCCTGTAAGCATCTATTGCAATACACCAGTGTTATCTTTTCGCTTATGCCAATGATGTTGTAGCTCTGGGACTGGGCCAAGACTTCTAGCTCATCTAGTTTATTCCTCATACTGTGTGCGTTTGCATAGAAGCACTTCAAATGGGTCTCATTGTACACAGCACCTTGTGGAGCAGACCAAACGACCTCACTAGCACACAGTCCCTCTGATTCTAGCATGCCATCCCTTAAGTTTATCACTGGTTGGCCTGGTTTTATCCCTTTCACCCTTCGACTTTAGTTTAAAGCCCTGTCAGCTCTGCTAACTCCTGGGCAAAAATTCTTTTCCCCCTCTGAGAGAGGTGCATCCCATCTGCTGCCAACAGGCCTGGTGTTGAGTAGACCTTCCCTTGATCAAAAAAAAAAAAAACAGAGTTCTGCTGGTTTCACCAGTCTCAGAGCCATGTATTGACGAGCCAAGTCTGCCTGTCAATACTGACCCCTCCTATCAGAAGGACAGAGGGAAACACAACCTGTGCTGCTGATCCTTTAAACAGATGGCCCAAAGCCCTAAAGTCCCTTTTGATTGCTCTTGGACTTCTCCTTGCTACTTCATCATTACCAGCCTGAAAAATGAGTAGCAGGTAGTAGTCAGAGGGCTGTACCAGGTGAGTGACTTTCCTGGCAATGTCTCTTATCACAGCCCCAGGGAGGCAGCAGACTTCCCTGTGGGTTGGGTCTGGATGGTGAATCAGGCCCTCTGTCCCTTTCAGAAGGGAGTCCCCCATGACAATAAGACTTCATTCTTTCTTTATGATGTAGTGATGGGGGAGGGGAGGGAGGGGAGGTTGCCTTGCCTTAGGCATCCCTTCCAACTGGGATGGGCTTTCTTCTACATCATTTTGACGGTCATATTCTAGAGCCTCATACCTGTTATGTAAGGGTAGATGGGAAGGTGAGGTGGGCAGGGAGAGAGCTCACTTACCACCCTGAACAGAAACCTGCTTCCATT